TTTTTTTTTTTTGTAAACAAATGCTTAATTTTATATGGGCCTTCTATGCTCATTGCTACACAGGAATTTTTAAGTTATTAGGTGTTAAATAGCTTATCATTTATTCATGACTGACATTGGCTTGATTTCTCCCTTTTGCTTAAGTCTTGACATTTGATTGTTTGTACTAGGTCAGGGCAAACTCAAGGAAAGAAGAAAGATTAAAGATGTGCCCCAAATAACCAAACTAATTTTGAAGAAGAATGAAATGTAGGAACTTGCTTTCCTGGATACCAAGACCTTTTATAAAATGACAATTATAAAATGACAATAATAATTTTCATCCCAGGGTAGATAAACAGACCAATAAAACAGGGCAGAGAGCCCCATCCTTGATAGATGACAGAGCTGGCCTTGAAGGATCAGCAAGAGGAGGTGGACTAGTCAATAAGTGGTATGAGGACCACTGGGTTCCAAATGAAAGAAAATGAAAACTTAACCCATACCAACACAAAGAGTATTCCCAGAAATGTTTAAAGAGTTAAATATGAAAGGTAAAACTTGAAGTTTCACATGGAAATCTTGGAGGATCTCCTTATGATCTTGAGGTAAGGAAGTATTTCTTACACACGATCTAGACAAACCAAAGGTAAAAAACTGATAACATTTAACTACATGGAAATGTCAAATATCTTTGCACCAAAATTCAACATACGCAAAATACAAAGGCAAACAGACTGAAGGAAGATATTTGTAATGCACATAACTGAGAGAGGCTTAGCTTTTGGAATACATAACAGACTTCTAAAAGATAATGAGAAACAACACCATTGACAACATCCTTCCAATAGAAAAATGGCCAAAAGAAACAAACAGATTATTCAAGGAGTTGAAAACTGGCCAAGAACCATGCTTAATCTCACTCATAACCAGAAACAAAGACAAAAACTTCAATGAGTGTCCCTTCGCCCATCACAATGCAAAAATTATACTCTGATGATATCAAGCTTTGTCAAAGATAGGAAACAACAAGAACGATTTTATATATTGGTAGTGGGTGTTAAAATTAGTACAAATGCTTTATAGGACAATTTAGCTATATTTAGTAGTGGATAAGTAAATGTTGATATTCACATATGTTGTATATATGTGTATGACATCATACAAAGGTTAGGCATGAGCGTGTGTGTGTGTGTGTGTGTGTATATATATCTCCCCACATATATAGATGAATCTCAAGATTCTAAAGTCAAGAGGAAAAAGCAAATCCCAAGTGAGTGCATATAATATGAAGCTTTAAAACATGCAAAACAAAAGCACAATAAAATAAGAAAAGCATAGAAATCATATCAAATTCAAGATAGTGGTTCTCAGGAGTGGGCCAACAGGAAATTCCAACTGGATGGTTCATGTTTAATTCCTACATTGACTATTGAGTTCACAGGTGTTTGTTATATTACACATACTTTCATATCTGAAATTTTTCTTAATTTTTTAAAGATTGAGTTAAGTTTTCTACATGGCTAACAGCTTGAGTTTAAAAAAAAGTGTGAAGTTTGGGGATATAGCACTGAAGACTTGATTCATTTTGATCTGCCAACCATTTCTGGGTCTTCAAGAAAATAAAAACGCAAGCAGCTGAAATGCTTTGTCTCCACAAGCTATGGAAAACATGAAGACTGAAAATCGTTTCAATCTTGAGGAGCTGAGAATGTATGTGGTCTTGGAATCTGGGAATGTGTTTGTCTTTGAGGAAGGAAATATCAGAAAAGAATATGACGGAATGGGCGGGGGGTGGGGAGGGCGGCGCTGAGGTTGTGGCTCAGCGGGAGTGCACTAGCCTAGCATGTGCAAGGCCCTGGGTTCGATTCTCAGCACCACATAAAAATAAGTAAACAAAATAAAGGTATTGCGTTCAACTAAAAAATAAATATTAAAAAAGAATATGACAGAATCTTTTTTTTTAATAATAGAAAACTTTCATTTTCTTACTTGAAGTGTTATGCACCAAGCAGTGGGAAATTAGTATTTTACTTAGTAGATAAATCAAATTCTGCAAAGGCAAGGGACCCAGATTGTCTGTTTGATGAATCTTTGACTTTCTAAATCTACACTGAAATCCTCAGCCAGGAGCTACTTCATCCCATGGATTTAAACCAGTGCTGCTTTAATCCACAGATTGACTGTTGTGACCTTGGATCTCAGGAACCTTCAGAAAGCTCTGCTGCTTTGAGAGGAGGGGATGGGGCATGTTGTTTTGACAGCCATGACATTGGATGAAAATTATTCTAGTGCTCACTCGGTTTGGGAGGCAGTCGTGGGAAGCCTTGGTGCCTCTGACCCTGGAGGGGGTAAGACTTACTCCATTATAGGTGTGGGACAGGAGAAGGTGCTCACAAACAGGGGACAAGAAAGGCCTCTCTCAAGGGCTTACTCTTCCTGCCAGAACAGACTTCATTTCCTCCTTCTTTGTGCCTAAGAGATGAGGTCTAATTTTACCCACGCCACGTTCCCTGTTTACATATTTATGAGTGTCTCCGATGAAGCTCATTTTGAGAGGAGCTGAAGTTGATGTGGCTTGGTGTTAATTCATTCAGTGTGGCATTAGACTTTTACTGACAATAATGATTATCTGAGACAGGCTGAGGTCTCAGCGTACTCTGTCTTAACAGATGGCCCTAAAATCTTAAACATGGGAGGAATTTCAAACCGATCCTTTTGGTTATTGAGCTTCTTCTCCCTGGCCCTTCACTCTCCAGGGAAGAGACGCTGCTTGGTGAATAGTCTCGAATTCCCAGGGAGAATGAGAAGGCAGTTGATAGGACTTCTATAAACCCACCCACTCACCAAACTGCTCTTCAACACATTCCTTTCTTATTTTAAATTAATTTTTAAAAGCATTATATAATTTGATGTCACTTAAGAGAAAAATAAATGCATGAAGAAAGAAAAGAAAAAAACAAAATCATTAACAGAGGAGATTCAAATTTCCATTATACTTTTATGTATTTTCCAAATTTCCTACAATTTTAATGAGATTTTTAAAATAACTTTTTCAACTGTGTGTCCTCATTTGGGCATATTTAAAATTTTGTATTTATTGACATCAGTTTGGTAAAATTCTTTTGCTTTTTTTTTATACTCTGAAAATAACTTTGTGAAGCTAAAATTAAACTTTTCCCAGAGAAAATCTTAGAAGTACTAAAGAAGAGACTGGAATGCTGATGATCCATCATTTCTCCCTTCATTTTGTGCACTGTGACAACAAGGGCAAGTTCACCAACCAAATCCTATAGTAAGACATCAACAGCACGTGCTGTACCATGAGAGACTTTATGCTCCTCAACCAGATTTTCAACAGGCTACTTGCTCCTTGACAGGTGGCATTTTGAGAACCTCCTTTAAGGAAGTAAAAAAAAAAAGCGACAACAGGAAAAAACACCAGTGACAGTTGACGGGTGAGGCCTGGTGAGGTTGAACTCAGTGGGCCACCATGAAGCAACATACCCTTTTAAATAGCAAAATAACTCAATATATACTTCTACCAGGAATTGGTTTATTTATTTATTTATTTTTGGTACTGAGATTTAATCCAAGGGACACTTTACCACTGAGCCATATCCCCAGCCCAGCCCTTTTTATTTTTTATTTTGAGACAGGGTCTCACTAAGTTGAGAAGGCTGGTCTCAAACTTGTGATCCTCTTGCCTCAGCCTCCTGACTTGCTGAGATTACAGGTGTGCATCACCAAGCCTGGTCAGAAATAGTTTTAATTGCTATGTATTTATCTGAGGAACTCTAAGTTAATTTTTCAATGTTCTGCATTTTCTTAAGCATTTTAGGGTAAAGTTGGTGTTTTGATTCTTTTGTTAAAAAACATAGACATTGACAGAGTTAAGTAAGTGTTCATTGAGACTGCTCGGAGTCAGGCTGAGCTGAGTAAGGGAGAAGCCCCCAGACCTTGACATTAGAACAGTCTCTACCAGGAATAAAGCATCTCACACTCTTGACTGTTCCAAGAGGACAGTGCACTCTCCTTTGACATCAGTCACTAAATGGTGTTTCTCATTTGCAGTATGGACATTCCTCAGAAAATTGGGAATGGGACCACCATTTGACCCAGCTATCCTACTCCTTGGTTTATACCAAAAGGACTTAAAATCAGCATATTATAGTGACACAGCCATATCAATGTTTATAGCTCAATTCACAATAACTAGACTACGAAACTAACCTAGGTATCCCTCAATAAATGAATGGATAAAGAAAATGTGGTATATATACTCAATGGAATATTACTCAGCTTTAAAGAAGAATAAAATTATGGAATTTGCCAATAAATGGTTGGATTTGGAGAATATCATGCTAAGTGAAATAAGCCAATGCCACAAAACCAAAGGCCGAATGTTTTCTCTAATATGCAAATGTTAATTCACAATAAGGCGGCGGGTGGGCACTAGGGAAGAACAGC